TGTTTGTACTTAGTTCCATGATGTGTCCCTCGGCAAGCAGTCTTGGATTCTTCTTCAGTTCTGCGGACCTCAGTAATGCCCCAGAGCAATGTTTCCAAAAACACACTCTATTCATGGAAGACTCTCCCAACACATGTTTTTTGACAATAAAGAAATCACCAAGATAGTGTTTCCCAAACTTATCTGACCATAGAGGGAGGTCCTTTCTAATGAGATCTCCTTTCTAGGTCTGGGCGAGTCCCAGGTTGGCTCCAGGCTATCTCTAGTTCCACCCTTTAGGTGCCCACTTCTTGGAAGCTTTTCATTTCCCTCACTCAGTTATTCTGGACTGGACTTCCTGAGACTTCTCCAGGGGAGGCTTGACTAGGGCCTGGGAGAAGAAAACCCTCTTCCTGGATGGATCCCCACGTCCAGAGGGAACCCACTGCATTAGAAATGGCTACATAAAGCTCTAACTGCACCAAAGCCTTATTTAGCATGCCTTTGGCTGTGTTCCCCGGGGTACCTCTCGGCCTGGAAGGGGTGCTGACTCCTGCATGACTCTTCTTGCTTCTTACCTCTGCTCTGTAGTTCCTGTTAGCAGAGTGTTTACGGAAATGGCAATACCAAGAATCTTTTTTTGCTTTTTTTTCCCTTTTTTCTTTTGGCTTTTGAGGTCTTGTTTCCTTAATTACTAGAGTAACACATGCTTATTACACAGAAATCTACTGTTACGTAAGTACATCAGGTAAAAAGAGGATTTCCGACAATTCTGCAAACCCACTCTTCTCCCCACAATCCCAAGACTGTTACTGTCAACAGTTTTCTCATTTTTAATGATGCACACGACTGGAAGCTCTATAATTTTCTGGGAATTCTTTATTGTGGTCCTTTTGCTTCAGGAATTTCTATTTTTCTTTATAAAGCTCAAGTATCACCTTTGCAAAGGTGCCCTGACCCAGATAAGCCAGGCTGGTCCCTCCCTTCACCAGGTGCCCAAGTAATTTGCACACACTTTAGTTAAAGAGCTTAGAACAGTTTCATTGCAATTTTTGAATGAAATGTCTCTCCCACTTCAGAGACCTCAAGGGCCATGTCTCACTCCTCTTTGTTACAAGGTATCTGGCACACTGGCATGCAATCAGTACCTGGTAAATACTTGTTGAATGAGTGAGTGAAGAAAGATATAAATAAAATATTTTTCTAACTCACAGACTTTCAAGCTCTATAAAAAAATCAGTCAAGTTGCTCACATTTAAATTTCTCTAAAAAGATGTTTCAATATATCTCACATTTCAATAACCAGGAAATACTGTTAATTCTAACTTTTCCCCATTGTTTAGGCCTGAAAACTTAAAATTCTAACTTTACGGAAAATGGTAAAGTTGGAAGACTTTTGGGATAGATGGTGGTTTATTGTTCAAGTGTCAAATGAACATTTTGAAGCATAACATCTTTGGCCATAGGCTTTGTCCACTGACACCAGAACATTCCAGGAAATGACATTTCAAATAAACAGTTTCAAGTCCAGTAAACGACAAACACAAAAAGTATTCAATAGCATTTCACAGCAAATAGCCTTCTGTTGACAGTTTCTCAGGAATGACGGATTATATTTGCAAAGCACAAATATCTCTTTTGTTAGATTAATTGAATATGGTTTTAGCCGATTGCTTGAGCAAAAGAGTGACTCTATAAGAGTAGTGAAAGAGGTGAATAAAGGAGAAGAGACATGAAAGATGAACCTTAAAACAATATTCCTAAATATCAGAAAGCCCCAGTGGACCAACACTTCAAATTAACAAACCCCACAGAGAGACTGTGACATGCATTCTGCATGACATATTGTTCAAGGGACAGCAGCCAAAAGGAGTCTCACTTTTCTTGGAAAAAGAAATTGCCATAGAGCTTTCATATTTCACCAACTAAACAGTGTGGGTTCAATGTAATTAAGGAATATGATTATGAACCCATTTCTTGGCCTCTAGCCCAAAGTCCTATTTTCTTATTCAAGTGTATCAGTAAGTTTCATCTAGAACTCATATGCCATATGTTGGACCTAGTTCTTCCTATTAAAACACATAGGCAATCTACAAACAGAGATCCATAATCTAATTTTAATTTTAAAATTAAAGAGTAAGACTCAACAGGTGCAATTAGAAGATAATGAGGCATAGGGTGGATTCTGAGAAGCCACCTAAAGCAGGAAGCGGAAGCAGGAAGTGACCAGGAGAAATTTAGACTCTGGGAAATGTAGTATGCAAGTGAAAAAAGAGTAAAGGATTTCATACACGGGATGGTGACTTCAATAGTAAAGGGACAGGCTATGCAGGGATACCATAGCAGCTGGCCCTAGAGTTATATCCGTACAACTAACGTGTTAAATTAGGAGGCAAAGCGATCACTAAGCAGGTGGAGGTAAAAAAAATAAATATATAATCCTCCCTTACAAAAAAAAAAAATACGGTACTGTCAGAGTCATGCTTATTAAATAATAAAAGTTAAAATTTACTGAGTATTTGAGTTGGGTCAGGCACTGTTTTAAGTACACTTGTGAATAGATTGTTTAATTTTCAAAGCAACCATATGAGATAGAAATTCTTATCACCTTCATTTCACAGATGAGAAAACAAGCACAGAAAGGCAAAGTAACTTGCTTAAGGCCACATGCTGTTAAGTTGCAGAACTAAGATTTGAACCCAGGCAGTCTGGCTCCAGAGGGCTTTTTTTTTTTTTTAATAGTATGCCATGCACTCTCTTAACACTTACTTGAAAGAAATATTACTCTTTATTTTGGAGTTTTATTCATATATTTACATAGGTCTTCAGAAGCCTATAGGAGAGATAAATCCTGACTTGAAGGAGACAGTGCTAGCTACCAAAAGCAGCCGAAGTCAGTGTACTTTCAGAGCTGGAAAGAGGTACTCAGTTCACCTTTGCATGATGTTTGACATTTATTCATGCAATTGAACTCAACTCAATTAACAGTGATTTAGGGTCCCCCGCTGAGTACTAAAGACGTAAGATTCAAAGCCTAGAGAAGACACAATTTTTAGACCAATCTAGAGCAGATCAAATACTCTGGAAGCTAACAGTTGAACAGAGACGAAGAAAATAAAGTCCAGAGAGTTCAAATGACCTGCCTGAGGCCAACAAAGTAGTTTGTGGCACAGAGTGACCTAAAAATCTGATTGTCGTGGGTCCAATTCTCCTTTCACACTATCACTCTGCCTCCAATCAAGCTGGTCGGAACACACCGAAATAAAATTAACTTCCAAAATAAATATCCATACCCTATAAAGAGGAAAATGTTTGCTATCTGCCTGTCTCATCTCTAGAACCCACTTCATTCTGGAATAAAGTCAAGGACAGGGAGAACAGATAGACAAAGGAATCTTTTTTTTAAAGGGAGAGGAGGAGAGAATTCACATACAAAACGTCTCCCTGATCTTTCCTGAAGGATGAGTGTTTTTCAGTTTTATCTGCTGGACAATTTCTCTCTCTTAAATCTTACCCAGTTCCAAGAGCAGACTTGATACATCTTTACTGATAACTATGTGTAGGTGCATGTGTATGTGTACAACTACATTCTAAGGGTCTTAAGAACAGAGAGCATGCTTTAAACCTCTCGGTATGCTCAGCTTCTACGAAGTGCTTTCTCATAGTAGGTGCTCAGAACAGTAATGATGTTAAAAGTATAAATATATACAATGCAAGGTTTCCAATTGGTTTTTTATTTTTAAAAACTGACCCTGTATTCAAGTCTCCTAGGGGTTTTTTATTAACTAATTTTAGTGGCGCAATTTTACATGCCACCCTCTCCCCCCACAACCTGCCAGGGGACATTTGACAATTTTGGTTGTCACAACTTGGTGGGGTGGGGGGGGTACTACTGGCTTCTAGTAGGTAGAGGCCAGGGGCACTGCTAAACATACTACAGTGCATGGGACAGACTCACAGCAAAGAATTATCTGGCCCCAAATGACAATAATGCCAATGTTGAGAGACACTGGCCTATTTAGAACTTAAAACTGCACAACCACATTTCCATTTCTCCACTTTAAAAATGCAAGTGTGACATAAATCAAAATGATACACTAAAGATTTCCCCCAACCAAGACAACTTCAGCAGTCTACTGATCAGATAAACAATTATTTAAAGGGCTGATTTAGAATAAGAAGGGTTCATTAAAGCCAAGAGAAAAGTATGAATTTGAATACATATGTACTTAAGTAAGCAATGGAAAGCCTTCACCAAAGGGAAGGTTACTCCACATTTACAATGTAAAATATTCTGCTGATGAGGCATTTTCAAAACCACCACTGGTCTGATTCAGACATGGAACTCTCTTTTCAGACTAGTTTCATTTATTTCTAACTTTACTCAAAATCCAGCTTTTAACCAGCACACAAAGGGGAAATGTATATTTTTTGTCTGCAAACAGGATCATCAGAATAAACTGCTTTCACCATTAGCCATTCCTTTCTATGCCTGTCCATCTTCCCCATGTCTGGGTCAATCTGAAAAGTCCAGTTTTTCATCCTAGATTCCTTATTGTGGCCAAAGGAGTCATTCCTCCAGGCCTACCTTGCTCTCCTCGCCTTCTGTCACGGAAAGGTCACTGCAGTAAAGCTGTCCTAACAGCGCGATGATACCTTGAAAGATAAACAAGGAAAAGGAAACGGAGGAGTTGCTGATGTTTTTTGCATTTGGTCATGGTTTCCTTACATAGTCTCTAGCTGATGTGGTTGCATTTATTAGTTTTATTTGCTTGTTCATTTTCCCCAGTGGCCGATCAAATTTGATACTTGGGATGTCTGGCAGACACTTGAATAAAATTTCTTTCTTTAAGGGGACAAATTAGTTCTTTTCTGGGAATCAGCTGACAAAAAACATACAGACCTCAGGAGGATCTTTGAACACACCACAGTCACTAATCGGCTGCACATACTGTGTGTTGAGTTAAACACATCACCACTGACACCCTCACACATTGGTTAACGGCTTTCTAAATATTTACCGAGATCTTTAATAAGCGAGAGTGCTTCCCAGGATATAAAGGCCCCGCCTCCATCATCCATGGCACCCTGCCCAACGTCCCAGCTGTCCAGATGTCCACTGACCAGTACAACCTAGAACAAATAATAAAAAGAGAAAAAAAATAAAACGAAGCAGAAGTGACGTCAAAGCAGAAGCATTCATACGCATTCCAAATATGGAAGTGAAGCTTTCATGTTTTCTTTTCTACTTTTACTTCTTAAAAGATCTGTGGCATTACTAGTGGAAAACTTGGTATAGAGGCATTATGTAAAGGGTGTAGGGTCATCCGAATAGGAATAAAACTTCTCACCTTGTACTTCTCTTTAGTGATATAATTTTGAATACTAAAGAAAAAGTTTATTACTGACAGATGTTTGACAACTTTATTATATGGCTTAAAGCCTAAATGATATAAAAATGGAGCTCAAAACTTCAACCATATTCTCAACTGTCTCATATTCTAGCAGACAAATAATAAACATGTGTTGAATTAAATTCAAATGAGAAAGCGAGAACAATAATTTATTTTTTTTTAATTATTGTGCTTTGTGCATTATAATTTCTCTGGTGTTGAATAAATAAGTATGCTGGAGTTACAAACTAGAGTCTAATTAAACAGAAGAACTTTTAAGAAATATCTCAATGTATGTGTTAAATAAATCTATAGAGTATGTTACAAATTTTAAATCACCATAGGTTTAAATTTTTTCAAGAATCATTAGTAATTCTTTCTAGGAAAATATAAAATATATTTCAGTGAAACTAAATTTTATGGACAAATTTTAAACAAGTCAAAAACTAAGTAAAATGATGCTGGGTTAATAGGATATTCACATGGAAAACATGCATCTTGATCTCTAGACCATGCAGTATATAAGTATCAGGGCAGATGAATTACAAATTTAAATAAAGGTGTTAGAGGAAAGCATACAACAGCTTTGCCAACTTAGAGTAGGCACAGGCTTCTTAAACTGGATATGCAAAGTACAAACCAAGAAGGAAAAAATAATAAATTGGACTTTTAAAATATTAGGCATATTTGCTCATCAAAAGACTCTATTACAGGTGTGAAAAGGCAGGAGAAAGTATTTACAATACACATGTTCAGCCAAGTTCCCACATTCAGATTATACAAAGAACTCCTATGAGACAGTAACCAAAAGAGAGTCAAATGCTAGAAAAATGGGCAAAAGACTTGAACAGACAGTTCTCAAAAACAGACATATAAATGACTAATAATCATATTAAAAATTGCTCAGGTTCATTATCATGAAAGAAATATAAATTAAACCACATTCAATACATATCCAACAGAACAGCTAAAATGAGAAAGACAGAAAATATCGGTGAGAAGGTGGAGCAATTGGAACTCGTATATTGCCGGTGTGAGCATACTTACAACCGCTCTGGAAAACTGACTTATCTACTAAATCTGAACACGCACACCCTGGGG